CCCTGTGCTTTGCTAAGCTTGTTCAAAGTAGGTGCTTTAGACCACTGAGCCATCTTACCAGCCCGTGTTGGACAATTTTTGATTGTGTGCATGTGTCTGTGTATGTGTGTAGACACTAGGAATTAAACCAAAGACCTTGTACATGCTAAGTGTACTCACTACCACTGGGTTATACCCTTAGCCCCTCACGTTTTGGCTTCTTGGACACTTAGCTCATCAGTTCTCAAGCTCTTGGCTAATATGTATCAAAATACTCTGATTTCCCCTCTAACTTGTTTTTACTTCATCCCACTAATTTTTTTTTTTAATTTGGTATAGGATCCCACCAATTTTGATATGAAGTGATTTCACTCATTTAATTTTATATTATTCTAATTTGTAATATGGCTTATTATTTATTACATGAGTAATTTAAAAGTGTGATATTTATTTCCAAATGTATGCATTTTTAAAAGCTGATTTCTGAGACTGGGCATGATGGCACACACCTGTAATCGCAGCTCTTGGGAGGCTGTAAACAGGCAGATCACTACCAGTCCAATCTAGTAGTAGTGAGACCCTGAACACCCTGTAGACCCTTCTCTAAAATACCAAAGAAAAAGGAAAAAAAAAAAAAAAAGCTGATTTCTAACAAGGGCCAGCCAAGTAGTTCAGTGGATTAAAGCACCTGCAAGCTGGTGCAGGAGCTGGGAGTTCAATTCCTGGGCCTGCCATGCTGGCCCTATCCCTGGGGTGTGCTGAGTCAGCAATTGAGACTGGGTGTGGTAGCCCATGCCTGTAATCCCAGCTCTTAGGCAGCTGTAAACAGGCATGTCACTACCAGTCCGATCCAGTAGTAAGACCCTGAACACCCTGTAGACCCTTCCCTAAAATACTAAAAAAAAAGGCTGATTTCTAGTTTTCTCATTGCACTGTCAGACAGTGTTGTGTAGCTCTAGAGCCTAGAATGTGGCTAGTTTTTATATCTATCTCATATGTCCTTAAAAAAAATACGTAGTATAAATAAGTCAAACACTTAAGCTCTGTGTCCAGCATGGAGTCCAGTGATATCCCTGTCGCTCATTTCCCCGCAGGTGCTGGGCCAGTAGAGCTGCCTCTCGGCTTCTGGGCCATGACTGGAGTGTCCAGGGAGGGCCCCTAGAAATAACTCAGTGCCACCCAGAAATAACTCTTGGTTGTTTCTGAAAACCAGCGGTATTTATTCCATGTGTCTATGAAGGAAGACCCTGAGCCAGCAAGCCAGCCTGCCCTTGTCTCTGGTGTTTTTCCTTCCCTCAGATACCTCTGTCCCCCTGGTTTCTAGCCCTGAGGTCCTTTCCATTCCCTTTGGGTCAATCTACCTCCCTAAAGCACACTCAAGCCAGTGGACAGGAGCTCAGAGAGTCTCTAGAACTCAGGGAAACTGAATAGAGAGACCAGACAGCAGAGCTGCAATGTGCAGCCCTCCGTTCAGGCCCAAAGCGTTCTACAAGCTGCCATCACATCCTGTACAGCTGCCCTTTTACCTCCTAGGCACAAGGCACCCATGCCAGAGCATGGAGGTGGGCTCCTGTGCCTCCATGCCCCTCAGCATGGCCAAGATGCATATTGGCTTTTGGAGGTGACTTCTAGACAGGGCACTAGAACCCTGGCTTTGGCTGCTGACCATCCATGGAACTGTGAGCTAGTCATTTCCTCTCTTTGAGCCAGTTTCTTACCCTATTGGGGTGAAACACATACCACTGACTCCCTCCATGGCAAGTCATCTTTCTAAGGTTGCCCGGTCCTCTGAGAGCTACAGCAGAGGCCCAGATCTCCAAATGCTGAGCACAGGCCTCACTCCACACATCTTCCCTCAGGAGCTATGATCCTTGTGCACCACTGCCCCAACATGCACTGATCCTTTTTAATACATTTAATCTCTGAACTTTATGTAAGAGATACTTCAAGACCATAATTTGGATTAGCTCATATTCTTTTAGGGTTCAGGCTAAAGTTTGCTCATTGTATATTAAGGAACGTCATCTTTCAAGGATAACTCCTCTTCCATTGGCAGTATTGGCAAAGCCCTTATGTAGAGCAGGTTTCGCCATGGGATTGTTTAAGGCTGCCGACCTGGCTAGCCATGCACTCTCTTCAACAACTTTGCCAGTTTCATTTCTCACACCTAAACTGCAGTTTGAGGTACGCATAAAAGTGATTGGAGCAGGTCACCACAAACCCAGGCAATGTCAGTTTTCGTATGCGATAAAACAGTAATGGTCAAAGCTTACCTCAGTCTCAACTCATTTAGGAACTAGCCTCATCGGAGCGCGCTCGCCGACATGCCGAGCAGGAGAGAGATGAGCTGGCCGATGAGATCGCCAACAGCGCTTCTGGCAAGTGAGTCCCATGGCAGAAGGCGGGAAGGGACAGGCATCTAAGATGAAAGCAGTGATGCCTTCAAAAGCTGGGCTGCTGCTCAGCAGTCACCTGATGTCCAGGAGAGGCTTGCTTATCCACTCAGGGTCTAGAAAGATACGGGGTGCCGAGGTGGTCACAGTCCCTGTGCTGGTGGTAACAGCCTTGCACACTGCTGACATGTGTCCGCTGGCTACACTGACCTGACACTGCAAGTCCCAACTTTCATATTCATTGAGTTTGGCAAGCAGGTTCCTTAGCTCTTTCTCTGGATTCATGGTTTATTAAAATCATTAATTTTCCAATTGAGTTGCTGTCTCCACTTAATTACTATATTGGCAGCTCATCATGTGCTTTTTCTGCCATGCCATAACAAGGAGCTGGCAATTTATTTATAGTTTTGGAAAACCACTGGAGTTTAGCAAGGAATTTCCAGAAAGGGTCTTACTTGTATTTAAAAGTTGGCAGCCCCTGGCTGTGATCTGTGCAGAACAGCAGATGGACAGGGCAGAGGAGGTGGCAGGCAGATCACTGGAAGGCTGCCAGAGCAGGCTGGGCCGAGGTGATGGCCTGTGTAGGGGAACAGACGTGGGCAGCAGAGAACTGGGACTATCTGGGGGTGTGAGCAGTCAGTGGGACATGTCGATAGACTGATGCCGGGTGCCAGCAGGCCATGTGCAGCAGTGTGCTGCAGGAGCCCTGCCTGAGTTTCCCAGAGTGTGTTGACCTGTCACCGCCCCCTCGCCCTGGCCAGGTCCGCACTGCTAGATGAGAAGCGGCGTCTGGAGGCCCGGATTGCACAGCTGGAGGAGGAGCTGGAAGAAGAGCAGAGCAACATGGAGCTGCTCAATGATCGTTTCCGAAAGACCACGCTACAGGTGGCGTGCGCAGCCCAACCCCAGGGGAGCTCTGCCTCCTCTCTGCCCATGTAACCAAAGCCGCTCTCCCTTCCAGGTGGACACCCTGAACACAGAGTTGGCAGCTGAGCGCAGCGCTGCCCAGAAGAGTGATAATGCACGTCAGCAACTGGAGCGACAGAACAAGGAACTGAAAGCCAAGCTACAAGAGCTGGAAGGTGCTGTCAAGTCCAAGTTCAAGGCCACCATCTCAGCCCTGGAAGCCAAGATTGGGCAGCTGGAGGAGCAGCTTGAGCAGGAAGCCAAGTAAGAGGTCCTTCTGGCAACCAGCTCACTGCATGTCCAGTACATGGAGCAGCCCCTGGGCCAGTCTGCATCAGAGACAGCAGATGTGCCCCTTGCTCTCCGAGCTCCCTAGTGTAGAGAGATGATAAGAGCATACACGACCAGAGTGGGAACTGTGAGGGGCTTTGAGCCAAAAAGATGTGCTGACAGTGCTCAGGGTAGAAGGACAGGTGGCCTCCGAGAAGTTGTTAGCTCCTCGTGAACCCAGCTGAGGGCCAGACATACTGGGCCCCCTGATTTTCTCAGCTCCCTAAGTTTACATCTCAATCGAGAGTCTGCTCCCCAATAGACAGTATCCTGTGAAAGCTGCAATCTGCTGGCAGAGTAGAAATGGAATATGACAAAAATAAAGGCTCTTTGCCCCCTGTAGGAAGGGATCACTTCACTTACCATGTTGCTGTGTTAAAAGTATGTGGGGGGCTGGTGAGATGGCTCAGTGGTCTAAAGCACCTACTTAGAATAAGCTTAGCAAAGCCCAGGGACCACGGTTCAATCCCCCAGCACCACATGCCAGCCAGCCCCGCCCCCTGGTGGGCTGAGCTGGCCACACACACACACACACACACACACACAAATAAATTTAAAAAAAAAATCTTTAAAAAAAAAAAATATGTGGGAATTGTGAGAATTGCATGGTGTGGCTTTTAGCAGGCGTTTGCAGAGCTGTTAGATTCAGTCAGCCTGAGCTGGCCAAGCTTCCGATCCACCTTCTTGCCGGAGAACTTGGGGCCCAGCTGTCTGCCGCGCCTTGCTCAGTGCACAGCAGGTGCCCAACCCAGTACCCTAGTACTTCCCACTCCCCTCTCCCAGATTGAAATAAAACAATCCAGGTTGGGGTTTTAGTTGTAATCAGTAGAACTTGCCCTTTCACATGAGCCCACTGTGGTACATTTTGGCATTCTGTTTTCCATGAAGTCCGCCAAATAAGTTACCTCTTCTCCATCCAGGACAGCAGCCCAGGTTAAAACAATAGGGTTTTTTGACTTCTAAACAGTAAGTATATGTGGGGTTTATGGGCCTCTTTTTTTGCTATTGTTTTTCAGTGTTAGTTGTGAAATCTCATAGCTTCATAGTGGTTAATAAACTCTAAGTTGAAATCAATAAAGTGGGGTTTTGGGGGGGTGGTTTGGTCCGCCAGATTAGTAAACCAGCTCAGACTAACCCACTAAGGGTTTTGTCTTTCTTGAGATAAGGTCTTACTATGCAATTCAGGCTGGCCACAAACTCAGTGATTTTCCTGCCTCAGCCTCCCAAGTATTGGTATTGCAGGCATCTGCTACCATACCCAGCTCTGGTTTTTGTCTTTTTTTTTTTTTTTTTTAATGTATTTTAGTACAGGGTCTAAAAGGTCTCACTACACAGATTGGACTCATAGTGATCCTCCTGTTTTCGGCCTCCCAAGCACATGTGTACCCCACCACCACACCCAGTTTCTTTCACAGTCTCAGCCCGCCCTGGGGGTGGGGCCGGCACAGCATGCCAGGATTGAACCCCAGTCCTTGCATCTGCCTTAGCAGGTGCTTTAACCCACTGAGCTATCTGGCCAGCCCTGATTTTTTGTCTTTAAATAGTCTAGGTTTCATATAACTGACAGATGTTTTATGGTTTGGATCTTTTTTCTTTTTCTTTCTTTCTTTTTTTTTTTTTTTTTGGTACTGGGGATCAAATTCAAGACCTTGTGCTTGCCAGGCAGCCGCTTTAGTCACTGAGCTATTGCCCCAGCCCCTGACAGATGTTTTATGTATAACATAGCAAAGTGACTAGTACCATTAATAACAAGAACAACATGCTTTTTCTACTTGTCAACATTGAAAAATACATTAAAGACAATTCCCATTCTGACCAAAAGGAGAAAGTTTGAGGGCCACATTAATAGTCATAGTTGTCTGGGAAGAGTGGTTCAGGAAGACATACCACCATGTGTCTTCTTCCAAAGAAAAAAGACTCTAAAAAAGATTTTCCTCACTCAAAATATAATTCCAAGACTTTCAAGACTACTGTTACTGTTTTCACAGGGAACGAGCAGCTGCCAACAAGCTGGTCCGTCGCACTGAAAAGAAGCTGAAAGAAATCTTCATGCAGGTAGAAGATGAGCGCCGACATGCAGATCAGTATAAAGAGCAGGTATGTGAAGAAAGCAGGGCACAATGTCATCTGCCTTGTAAAGATTCAGCAGGAGGCTGCATGCAAGGCTGGGCGAACTGGCATAATTAGGAAAATGCTGTTTGGAACTCTTAACTGTTTCAACTACCAGGTGCTATTCCATGTTCCCAAATGCCATGTTCCAGCAGGCATTTGTGGGTGCTGGGGATAGACGGGTGTTGGTAAAGTGAGGGACACTTACTACACGATACTTGGAGAAGGGAGGCAAGAGTTTAAAGAGGCCCAGAGGTATGAGGCATTGACAGAATTTTCAAGTTACCATGTTTCTCCCAGGCTCCTGGTTATCTCCCTGGTACCCAGAATAGCTTATTTCATGACATAAGCAGTCATGAAATACCAGCTGCCTGGATAGCTGCAGGGGACACTGAGTAGGTCCTGGGTGGCCTCCCCTGCCTGCAGCAGATACCCTGGCTGCAGGCAGGTTTGCACCTACTGTGGCCTGGGCGCTGTGCCCTCCCCTCCAGCTCACTCCTCTCTGCTCTGGCGAGTCTTGCTGCTGCACACACTGGGCAGGAAGGTGGACAGAGTTAAGGACTCACGACCGTTGGTTGGGCCTTCTACACCAGTCTGGCCCCTAAGGTTCACACACACACACACCCCACACAGCCTCAGGGCCTGGCCACACCAAGGCAGTTCTGGACAGGTGTGAACAGGATCCACAGGGCACTGGCTGCTACCTGTACATGTTCAAGGGTGAAGGATCTGATGGGGGAGCTCTTGGAGCTCATGGCTCCTGTAGCGGCTGTTCTTGACTCTAGGTGTGATGTCTTAAAAAGTACTTCACAGGAGATGGGAAACACATCCTGCAGTTGGTGACTCCACATTGTCGATGCTTGTACATTTGCAGGAGTACCAATTCTCTTTCATAAACCCTAATGATTCTCAGGTGAAGATAAAAAACTAGGTCATTTTTCTGGAAAAAACTCTAGGTTTAAATTTTGTTAGCTTAGTTTCTTTTGTAGATGCTGGCTTTGTTGAGAGTAGTTGGCAAATTAAAAATCCGCAGACCAGGCCCCAACATAAAAGTGCACACAAACGTGAGCATGGCCACATGGCGCCCAAGAGGACTGTGCAGACACTTGGGTACAGAGACCCGTACTAGATTCAGTGTTCTGTCTCGGTTCTTGTGACCCCCCAAGATGGAAAAGGCCAACGCCAGGATGAAGCAGCTGAAACGCCAGCTGGAGGAGGCTGAAGAGGAAGCTACACGTGCAAATGCGTCTCGGCGAAAGCTCCAGCGGGAACTGGATGATGCTACTGAGGCCAATGAGGGTCTGAGCCGTGAGGTCAGCACACTGAAGAACCGGCTGAGGTGAGCCTGGCAAGGACACACAAGGCAGGCAGCGTGGCAGGCTCAGGGCCCGCTGGCCACAGAAGCTCACTGAGAGATGGCTCACAGGAGGGAGAGCAGAGCGTGGAAGCACTGAGAGAGACCCCCATCCCCAAAAACAGGCCAACCAGGGTCAGCAGCTGGCCAGTGCACGCTCAGTCTGTAACCTGCTTTGTATAGGCAATAAGCCAAGAATGGCTTTTTTCATTGTTGTTACCAAGGATCAAAATCTTTGGACCTCGCACTTGCCAGGCAGGCACTTACGCTGCTGAGCTATATATTCCTGGCCCCGTAAGAATGGCTTTTACTGTGTTTTGTTTCTTTTTGTGTGTGTGTGTCTGTGTTTAGTACAGGGTCTTACGTAAATCAGACTCTTACTCGTAGTGATTCTGTTTTCAGCCTCCCGAGCGCTTGGATTACAGGTGCACACCACACCACCCAGTCTCAATCACCAACTCAGCACACCCTGGGGGCAGGGCCAGAACAGCAGGCTGAGGATGAACCCCAAGCCCCTACATCTACCTAAGCAGGCTCTTTAGTCTGCTGAGCAATATGGCCGGCTCTGGTTTGTTTTGTTTTGAGACAAGGTCTCATTATGTAGTTCAGGCTGGCCTTGAACTTACTATGTAGCCCAGGCTGGCCTTTGAGTACCACTGATCCTCCTGTCTTAGCCTCCCAAGTGCTGGGATTACAGGCGAGCCTACCACGCCCCAAACTGGCTTTTCTTTTAAAGAACTTTTTAAAAACCACAAAAACAAAGTTTGTGTGGCAGACCACATATGGCCTACAAAGCCTAAGTAAAATTGATGCTTTCTGGCCCTCTTCTGATTAAAGGATGGGTAGTAGGTAGAGCTTTGTCTTAATCCTTTTCACTACCATTTCTTTTCTGTGTGTGTGTTGTTGGGAGGATGGGGGAGGGAGGTTGTACCAAGAACGGCACTGAGGACCTCCTGCCTCCAGGCAGGAGCTTATGGTGCTGGGCTTGATCCCTGGCCCTCATTAGCATCTCTATCACATGGCAGGCTTCAGGTGAGCCAGGCCTTCCCCAAGTCTCTGAGGCCCCGCTCCATGCTATGGTGACCAGGATGATACTAGATGAGGAAGGACAGTTCAAAGCCTTCCCAGTTACACCTGCCAATGCAGGGCCCTAGGATGGGCCAGAAAATTGTATCATTTCGGATTAAACTTGACTGTCATGGCTGCTTGAGCCTTTTTTTTTTTTTTTTTTTTTTTTTTTTTTTTTTTTTTTTTTTGGCCTTTATTGACGATCTATTTTCTGCTCTCCCAGGCGGGGTGGCCCAATCAGCTTTTCTTCAAGCCGGTCTGGCCGGCGCCAGCTGCACATCGAGGGGGCTTCCCTGGAGCTATCAGACGATGACACAGAAAGTAAGACCAGTGATATCAACGAAACACAGCCACCCCAGTCTGAGTAGACACAGGAAGCCAGAGACGACGACACAGGGGGACACACAGGAACTCATCCAGCACCAGTCTGCCTGGTGCCTCCTACCGATTCAGGAATCAGCAAGCTGCGGGATTCCTTCTGGAAAGATCAACTGTGTCTTTGGGCTTTTGGCCTACGCAGACTGTATCCTGCTTAACTAGGTACAATTGCTCCCCTTTTTATATATATCCACACAAAAGACACACATATTAGACAGATTGTCTCATCATTGCATCTATTTTCCATGTATTCATCAAAAGACCATTTTATAAGACATGTTAAGAGGAGAACCCTTTTTAAAACAGAAACTCCAGGCCCTCCATTGCCAGTCGCTGGGCTGTGGGGGCAACCCCATGGTCGTTGCTCAGTCGCTCTGCATGCTCTGTCGTACAAACAGGAAACTTAGTTCTGTGTTTCATGTGGCCCTGACTCCTCCGCCACATCCAGTCTCTTAGAACATTGTGGAACCTAAACTGCACTTGTTTCTCTCAGATCCTTCAAATAATGATCACTGTTTCAGTGAGCAAACTGTGAAAGGGGCTCTGGAAAGATTCAGAGGGGTGGGTTGGACTGGGGGAAGCCACATCCATTTAGGGTTACCATGCCTGTCTCCCAAGGAGAGGCTCCACCCCTCGAGTTGGTGGTGTCCCCACATCTACTCATGTGAACCGTCCTGGCCAGGGCTAGTCTGTGCATAGAGAGGGTGGTGGCCATGATGCGGCTGAGGCCACAGGTGACAGCCAGATGGTCTCCTCAAGTCAGGTTGGGCCAGCTCTTCAGGAGCAAGCAGCTGCGGCCCCGCAGGAGCTAGCAGAAGACCCTCCTCGCCAGCCAGGCCCTTGTGCTGACCTTGCATATTCAGCCACTGCTTTGAGCCCAAAATGGGAATGTTGGTTTTGTGTCCAAGGATTGTTCCAAGTTTGTCAGCGAGGTTGAGAGGACCTCACAAATAGATGCCATCTGCCTGAATGTTGACATGCCAGTGGGTGTGAACCCTTCTTTCATTTTTCCTTTCCCCTTCCCTTTGGACAGTGTTACAGTGAACACTTTAGCATTCTGTTTTTGGTTGATAGTTGAGCAAACTGACATTACAGAAAGTGCCTTAGACACTACAGTACTAAGACAATGTTAAATATATCATTTGCCTCTATAACAATTTAATGTATTAAGTTTTGACTATGCTTCATATCATGTACCTCTCTAGTCAAAGTGGTATTATAAACATTCAGTGACAACAAATCAGTGTTAATGATAAATCCCTGATCCTCTGCAATGTGCTTGAAAACACAAACCTTTTGGGTTAAAAGCTTTAACATCTGTTAGGAACAGTTTGTCATGTGGGTTTGGAATCTCCGATTTCTCCCTGTATGAATTGTACTGGCTGTTGACCACCAGACACCTGACTGCAAATATCTTTTCTTGTATTCCCATATTTCTAGACAATGATTTTTGTAAGACAATAAATTTATTCATTATAGATATTTACGCCTGCTCTGTTTACTTGGAGGAAAAAGCACCCGTTGAGAATAAACAGACCTCAATAAACAAGAATAATCATGTGAACATGGAATTTGTTTTCTCACCTTCTGTTCTAAGTTTCCCATCTGTGACCTGGCCAGAGGGAGGTTGGCTCCACAGACTTGGTGATGATACCAGACCCCTGGGCTCACCCAGAAACTGATTCTCCAGGCAGACTGACTGGAAGTCCTGCTCACCCTATGGCTTACTAGTACGTGGACACTCGGGGAGGGAAAGGACACCAGAAGGCAGGCAGTGTTGAAGATCCAACTGCCAAGGGAACAGTTCAGGAGAATTTGATCACCAGCCAGTGGAACACATTGCATTTTTAAGAGGTCCAAGAAGTTGCAGGCTGCATTTTTAGATAGGATGTGTGCTGAAAACACTTTGGGGGGAGGATTTTGGTGGCTCCCTGAGGCAGCTTTGCTACTGTAGCCAGCTGGGATTGGAGAGACACGTGTGATCGGAGTGCGACTTCTTACTCCACAACACTTGGCTAGGCTGATCCTGGGTCAGAGGCAGCAGCAAGGACATGAGAAATGGGACTCTTTTCTGTGTCACTACCATAGAATATCTGAAAATTTTAATCCTTTCTTTACAGGTTACTAGATCACTTAGGAAAACTATAGAAAGTTAGTAGCTGCCACAAGTGAACACCAGGTAGTGGCATGTGTCAATTTTCCAGTCCTGCCTTTGTGGGATGTCTCAATGTATTGCTTGGGGTCTCTGCTCACACGTACTGGAATCATTTGTGGCAGATTTTAGTCCATGGGTCGCTTTTTCCCCATATTTCTTTGTTAACTCTTCAGCATCCTTACAGAATTGTTAGTATTTTTTAGCTAGGTCAGCCCAGAGCAGGTGCTCAGGCTGGGGGTCATTCACAAGTGCTATGAAGGACTGGATTACTTGGTTGGTTTTAGTTGCTGGCTTCCAGTTCTCCCAGCACCTTTTCATCAATGTTTGGGTAATAGATGTTTGTTTTAAAAAAGATCTTTGGTGGTTTGAATGGCTACTCTATTGAAAAGTTGATTTCAATTCTAAACACCCCCTTATCATATGGGTTGTCAGGCATAATAAGACTTTGCCAAATCAATAAATTAGCTTCATCAACCTGATGTCATGGAAGTTTTTCATTCCACATTTGCGGATCTCTTCAAGCTCCTTCATCAGCCTCCTGATGGCTGCCATCTTGGACCTGGTGCCATATCAACCATAGAAGAAGGTAAGTTGAAGCTCTGGTGTTTCTGCTACATTCTCACCGCTGCATCCACAAAAAAATTTCCTACTGGCTGGCTTGACCGGTATCCACATCCAGTACCCCAAATACTAACATGAAAGAACTTTTCTTTTTTTTAATTTTAGGGAAGGGTCTACAAGGTGTTCAGGGTCTCCCTATTAGATCGGACCGGTAGTGATCCACCTGTTTACAGCCTCCCAAGAGCTGGGATTATAGGCATGCGCCACCACACCCAGTTTTAATTGCCATCTCAGCAAGCCCCATGGGCGGGGCTGGCATGGCAGGCCCGGAGATCAAACTGCTGGCCCCTGTGCCTGCTTGGAGGTGCTTTAATATGCTATTTGGCCGGCCCCAAGAACATTTCTTCACTAGATGAACATCTCCACCTCACAAAAAGGTAGTTTATAAAACCCCATGGGGCATTTAGAGCTCAAGTAAGACAAACTTATGGCAGGTGGGCCACTTGGCAAGAGGTCTAGATGAAGTGTTGGGGTTTTCACCTCAGGAATGTTTTGTAAGCTACTGGCTCTGCCCTTGCCACACCACAGGTACCATTTTTAAAAACACAGTCCAACAGTTTATTAAGAAACTATTTTGATTGGGCTAATGCCTTCCTGGCCTATTAGCTTAAAGGTTCACTTCCAAAACTTTGGCATGTGAAAGACTACAGCCCGCTATAGTTTCTTCTGTCACCCATCTTCACAGTACCCAAAAACTTCAGCTAAGATGGATTTGGGACCATAAAACTAAGGTGCTCTCCTGGCCAGCCCATGCTATGGCTCTGGGTATAACCTAACCTAACCTAGGGTTATAACCTAACCCTAACCCTAATCTCTGCTCCTAGAAGCCAGTGTTGCCAAGAGACAGGTGTGTCCCTATCAAGACTAGAGAAGGAAAGTGCTCTAGGAACCACCCCTTCCTGCCTTACCTTCACCTTGCAAAAGACAGCCGAAGAGCCAGAACTAGATGGGCCCGGGCAAGGAGACAAATGGCTCCTTTCACCCTGGTCTGGCTGAGGCCTGAAGAGACTTGACTGTTCACAGGCTGCCTCATCACTGAGGACAAAGAACTCATCTTCCCTCTCCAACTTTCTGGGACAACACATACCAAGAGCTTTCCCAAACCTTGAGTGTTTACTAAAATGCTATCCTGTGCCAACCCTGAGGACCCGGCCTAGCAGTCCATTCCTTTTGTAGCCACCTGTCTTTTGGGAATCCGGCATGTCACATGACATGTCTCCTTGTCTGAAATCTAACATGAAAGCAATCAAGAGTACATCATTGATGCCTGTTTTCAGAGAAACATAAATTATAACTAGTGCACATATGCATACAATATATGCAAAAAGGTCTGAACATGTCCTTCAGCTGTCACTGAGTCAAGAAAATTCGTGTTTGATTGATTAAAGCATTGAGGTCTATTTATGTTTTTCAAAGCAGCCTTATGATAGGCTCCCATGGCTGTCTGAAGCCTTAAGATAGAGTATGGCCATGACTCATCCTCATGTCAGACACTGACAAAAGGATGTACAAAAGGTGGTACAGGGCTCCAGGATAAATCCTGAGAGTACTTGGCTGACCTTATCAGATACAAAAGTTACATTTCTGTGTATATAGGTCTTGCTATATCTTGGTCTTAACCATCCAG